TTTTTTGACGGCGGTTCAACCTAGTTCCGCCACCCATTAGCCCACGTTACGTATACACTTTTCTTCGGTAATCGCGTTATCAACTTTGTTGGCTTGTCGATATTATCGAGCTTTTCGCCCGAAATACTACAGGTTATAGTCAAAATTTTGTTAATTAATTAGACAATTATTAAATACAAAATGCTCTTTCGTCGCCAATATGTTGTATTTATTCGAAACAAGGAGTACCTCCGTAGTGATAGGTTACATATAGAAAAAAAATTTTTTTTTTTTTTTTAACGTTTGCAATGAAATGTTATTATTTACCTCTTCCCTTGCTCCGCTTTAAGTAAGCGTCATCTTCGTAGACATCGCGCGTCAAGCCAAAGTCCGATATCTTACAAACTTTTCCCGTTGCCAGCAAGACGTTTCTCGCAGCCAAATCTCGATGAACCAACTGATACATGCGCACCCAAATACATGGCATTACTCTGACGTAAAATTACATTTTTTCATTTCCGGTTCAAGTGAAAAACAAAAAAAAAAGTTTCACCTTTATTTCCGCCAGGTAAGCCATTCCCTTACTAATTTGCCAGGCGAACGAAATTATGTCCCTCGGGGTTATCGTGCAATTGACCGTCTGGTTGACGTGATGATCCAATGACTTGTTTGGCGAAGAAGCCAAAAGAGAAGTCGATCCCGGCACTCGCTCTTCGTCCCCCAAATGACGACTTCTTCGCAAATAATTCCTGTAATCGATCACATCATTTTTTTTTTTTCTCCTCTTCTTCCTCTTTTCCTTCATCTCCCTCGATGAACTTGTACATAAGCCCCTCAAATCTCTTCATCGTACGTATCGTTTTAAATCTAACTTTACGTATCGATGGAAAATAACAAAATGTACCCATCCCTACGCAAAATTAATTGCTAAAAAGAAAGGAAATAGCAGCAGATGTACTTTCTGCACATCCTCCGCTGTACACGGGAAGTATTTAATTATACGTGGACGCGAAAAATTTCATCCCCTCCTGGCTTCTTATTAACGCGCATTCCAGCCCCTACGACTAATGTAAGTCGAAAAGGAATGCCCGCGAGAGATAGAGAGTGCGTTTCTGGAAGTCGAGGGAATAAACGGTCTAAAAGACAGAGCCAAGCTTCGCGACGAGCATTTGCATGCATAGTGGGAGGGAGTCCTGCGGTGTGTGTGTGTGTTTTGTCGGGTTCGCCCTGTCCACCGGCATTCTTCACTTGGTTTTTATTAAACGCTGATGCGTATGAGCGAGGGGGTATTGTTTTTTACGGGCTCCGAGTTTTCTCACTTAAAAGTTTTCCCAGCGTTAATTCACGAGGTGCGCGATAATCGGGAGGTTTTTCACGAAACGAATTTTTGAAAAAACACGGTTTATATCAAGTTTCGAAGTGACCGTCAGTTGATTGTCCTTTGCTGTATGTTATGCTGTGGAGGGACTAGATTTTTTTTTTTTTTTTTGCTTATAAAATTAATATTGTTATTACGATGACCACCAAACAAATTTCACCAATAAACTAATACATTGATGACCATGTAGAGCTTCAAAAATTGTCGAAGGGACTGTATGAATAATTTTTAAAAACATGAAAAATCTCAACTTCCGAAGCACTTTTGTGTACTGTTTATAAGTTTAAATAAAAAAATTGCAATTTGGCATGTTACCTCATGGGAAATCACGTAAAATTGCATTTATGTTAACCGTAGAAATTTCTAAATTTTGTTTTGTACAGAAGATTACTTACAAATAAATTTGTTAAATTTTTTAATATATCTGCAACTGTTTGCTTTGCATTACATAACCAAAAATAGAAGTAAGGTATGCATAAATTTGTGTATGTAAATACGTGTACATAAAAAAAATAATTGCCAGCGTTACTGCATCTATTTGCACTTCTCTTACCTTTCCAAACTTTTTCCATACTAACTTGACGTGATGAACGTCCCAAAGCCAACAAAATTCATCTTAGTAGAGAGTTATTTCTTGTAAAAGTAAAAAATTCATGATACGTGGATAAATATTCAGTGATACATAAGAAAGCTGAAACGAACTAAAAAAATATATTTATGAAATTAATGTGTAATTATTAATGTATCTTTTTATTCAATTCAATCATTCAACGAATGGTTGATAAAAATGTACTTTTGAAATAAGTTACAAACAGCACTAAGGGAAAGTACGCAGTAGTTGGACACTTTTAACAGTCGAAAGTTACTTTGCTGATTTATAAAAAACTACCAAATAATGATGTTCAAAAAAACATTGTACTAGTTATTTCATATTTTTTTTATTTATTAGAAAAAAATTAAAAATATCAGCTTAATAAACAAAGAAAAAATTAATATCAGAGAAAAATCATCAAGTTCCAGTATCTGGATACCAGTGTCTAGGTACTGGGACCAACATGAGACTTAAGACCAGTAGTTGGAAAAATTAGGGTAGACCTAATTTCAAAATGCTTTCTTACATCTCTCAACTACTCAATGATTATAACCTTTTTACTACGTGGTATAGTTTCTGGTCATCATTCAACTTCATTTTAGTTTTTAACAATAATATTTACATATTATATTCAGTAATAGTCAATAATTTTAACTGTTTCTTACTGTCCAAGTACCAGGTATAGGAAAAATCTTATGTTATCGCTTCGAAGCTATTCTTGGACAGAGTTATTTAAATTTTTCGATGTGTATAATTCTGATAAACATCAATAAAAAATTTAATAATACATATTTTGCAACGTAATTTTAGTTAGAAAATACCTTGAACGTTCTATACCCAGCTATAAATTATAATTTTTACTGGTTTTTCGTGTTCTAATACTGAGTACTGAGTATAGGAACACTTCTATTTAAAACATATTTTTTTACTTAAAAACGAAATAGAGTTTTCAAAAATATTTTTTCCATCAGGCATTACTATGCATTAACAGATTTTACACAAATTTGTCTTTCCTATTCGAAAACGTCTTGTTTTTGAAAATGTTAATTGTATTAGACTGTCCATCTACTGATGCTATTTTTATTCCTGCCCAACTACTGAGCACTTTACCTTATCACAAAAAGTGATGAAATTTTCTACTTTGAGCACTCTTTTTTTTAAGTTGTAGTGTGTTGTAAAGGTACGGCAAGGGCAAAAAGAGAGTAAGATACAAAATCGACTTTTGTCACACAACTTTTTATAGTTACGTATTTAAAATTATCCGTTTACTCTCATGCGTCACACGCCTATTAAAGTGTAATTTGAAAAATTTTTTTTAAATGGTGCATTATTTTACTAGAGCACAAAATACAAACATGAACGTCCGAAGAGTGCTGTTGTTGTTTGTTGGTGTCTGAGACGCGTATAATGTTTCTCTTACCCAGAGGACAAGGTGATAATTCGTGCCAAGTTTATGACTTGGGTCCCAAAGCTTGCGAAAAACTTCTCTGCCCGTGGGCCTCAAGTGATTGCAAGGGCGCAAAGTGTGGTTTGAGGGTGCAAAGCGGCAGTTGCACTTTGTGCCCATGATAAAAAAATTTGAATAAAAATTAGCTTCTTTACTGCATTAAAAATTAACATAATAAAGAAACTCAACAAAAATTGCTTTGTTATTTTAACTCTCTACATTGTAATATAAATATGTTTGTAAGTCATGCAAGCCATACCCCTTTGAAGAATATTTCTGCAGCGTGTGTAAATTGTGTTGATGGTTTGCATAAAACCAATATTATTTTCTTCCAATTTTTCAATTTTTGTTTCCTTTATAATGCTTCTTTTAGATTGCTTTCAAGCACATGTGTACACACAAACACACCCACACACACACACACTCGCACACATGCACACACATCTACAAAGAGAGTGTTTGAGTGTTTAGAAGTTTATTACGCCTCGGGGAGGATCCCCATCTGGCCAAATTAAATTACAAAGGTTAAGCAAATTATAAACTAAAACTTAAAAACTAAGGTTAACAGCAGAATGTTCGCTTAAGATTAAGTACTGATGGTAACACTAAAACTAATTTATTTAAAGCAAAAAATAAAATTAAATAAAATAAAATAGCAGGCAGAGGTATGGCTGGGTGAATGCTTTTGATGGCTTAGGAAGGCAGTGAGGCTGAAAAGAAAGATGAAAGAAATAATGAAGGAAGTCTTGAACGCGATGAAATGGTTCGAATGGAGGGCAATGCAGGTTTAAATTGTGATGGCTAGAGAAGGCAACATGATCATTTTGTAGTGGCGAGAGAAAGGCTGGTGAGTGCAGATTGTGTGGGAAGTGAGTGTAAGATGAGGATGTTTATGGGATGAGAATGTCGCGTGACAGAGTTGGTGCAAAGTAACAGATTGCTTGGTATGACGTTTGGTGCGGTGCAAGTGGGAGTTAAAATGAAGAATGGCGCGTCACAAAGCGGGTGAATAACGCAGTGCTCAAGTTATCTTGTTATGAGGTGTATATGTGTAGTGGAGGGCTAGATACACCATCGGGTTTCCCATAGCATGGCTTTGAAGGTCTGGTAGGTGTAGTCGCCAAGGTTGATGGGTGCAAGTGAGTTTAAAAGGTCTAAGGCTTGAATGTAAAACGCATCATCACGAGCTCTGGTGCGGGAGGGTGGGACTATGAGGATGGGATGAAGGCGACGTAGGTTGCGTTGAGTTGAGGCTGTTTGAGATGCAGGGCGAAAACGATTTGCGAGATAGGCGGGACATTGATGGTGAATGACGTTGAAAGCCAGACACCCCAGATGGTACTCCCGTCTCCGTCGTGCCAAGAGCCAGCCCAACTGTAGTCTCCAAGGTGTGACGAGTGCGATCCTCGGTATCAAGCCCACTACAAAGCGGACATAGGCGTTAATAGCCTGTTGCATTTTTTAATTCCTAGTGGTGTCAAGGTTGAAGAATACAGATGAGGCATAGTCTAAATGGGGAAAGACGAGGGTCTCAACGAGTGACTTTCTGAGGCTACGTGACAGGGCATGTCTATGAAATCTGAGTGATCGCAGTGTTTGATGCACTCTCTGATTAATTCTGCTTATTTGAGGAGACCAGTGTAGTGTTGGCGTGAAGACGACCCCCAGATTCGTAGCCCTCTCCACAACGGGGATCTGTACACCATTTATGTGGATGGGGATGAGAGATGATAGGTCGAGACGAGTGATGTAGGCAAGGCTGCCCAGTATCATGGCCTTAGACTTTAGTGGGTTAAGTCGAAGGCCGTTTTGGTGGGCCCAAGATGCCACCGATTCAAGGTCGCGATTCAGGCGAGCAATGCCCTGATTTACGGAGGCGAATGAACAGTGGAGGTAAAGTTGGGTGTCATCGGCATAAATCATGTAGTTTGTGTGTGAAAGGGAGGCCGGAAGGTCGTTTATGTACGGTGAAAAAAAGGAGAGGGCCAAGGACACTGCCCTGGGGCACGCCCGCAGGAGCGGAGCACCAGCCAGAGACAGCGTCTCCATCTCCTCCCCCAATGGCCTGGTGATGGTTAAGGAGGTAACTATGGATTAAAGCTAAGACGCTGCTTTAGAGGTTGTAACTTCTAAGTTTATTTAAAAGCTTTAGGTGGGGAACTGTATCAAAGGCTTTTGAAAAATCAAGTAATACCAAAATCGTGATCTCCTGACGATTTATCGCCTCTCTTATATCTTCAGTCACGCCACGGAGGGCGGACTGAGTGCTATGTCCCCTCCTGAAGCCGGACTGACGAGTGTTTAATGCATTAATATCCGAGATGTGATCAGAAAGCTGTCGAAATAAGATGCGTTCGAAGGCCTCGGAGATTTCACAGAGGGAAGCTATGGGGAGGGTGTCGGAGGGTGAGATAAGTTGACGCGTCTTAGCTAGAGGGAGGAGTAGGGCCCTCTTCCACAAAGAGGAAAAATGCGAGATCTGAATGAGACTATTGAATAAAAGGGTAAGGAATGGTAGAATGACTATGAGGGAGAGACGTAGCATTTTATTAGACAGACCATCATGACCCACTGCCTTTGACGACGATGAGGTAATTGATTGACGAACTTCCTCTAACGATGTGGGCTTGAAACTAAAAGGGGGTGTAACGGATTCTGATGACGGGGTGTCAGCAAGAAGTTCATATAAATCATTTTGGGTGAGCGGTGTTGTTGAAGCTGTTGCCGAGGTGTATGTGGAGATGAGTGTGTCTGGAAAAAAAATTTGGGTAGGCGTTGGTAGGGTAGGGCTAGTGAAATTGAGTTTCCGAAGGGTGGACCATTTCTCTTTCAGATTTGAAGATGAGTTGATGAGATGGGCGAAGTAAGAGTTTTTGGCTATGAAAAGGGTGTTTGAGACCCCGCTGCGGAGACGGCGATAAATCTGTATTTCAGACGGTAGCCCCGAGTGCCGGGCGTCACGGTATGCGCGATCTCTTGCCAACATCATGGATCTTATTTGCGAAGTAACCCATGGCTTTCTTCGTGACGAGAGGGTGATCTTCCTAACTGGTGCAAGACCGTCGAATGCTCCAAGTACCGCCGTCGAAAAGCGCTCCGTGATGTCGTCCAGTGAGTCAGGACTTAAGTCGTTAGTGAGCGTGGTCAGGGATAGGAGGCAATGATACGGGAAGTGAGTGCTTCAGTGTTGATATGCTTGAGGTTACGCGCTGTAATGATTTTTGAGATGGGCGGAATCTGAATATAGTGGAGGGCAACTTCGATCCAGTCATCACCGGTGATGAATGGTGATGTGGACTGTTGATGGTGAATAAGTGCGGAGGGGTCTTTAATGATGAAGAGGTCTATCCAGGTATGAGATGAGTTGTTACGATAAAAAGCGTGGTGTGTTGGATTGGATGGAACGAGATGGAGTGAGCTTTCAGCGATCTTTGTGGTTAAAAACTGGTATGAGAAGGACGACGTGAGCATGTTAATGTTAAAGTCTCCTGTGATGACAATATTTGAGTAGGCAGGCAGATGATCAGAGAGTATGTCGAAGAACTGGTGTGGTAAAGCAGCTGAAGGGTGGCGGTAGACTATGGCTATTAGAGTTTTGTGGGCAGCTATGGATAATTCGAGTATGAGAAATTCTGGTGTATTATCGAAGTCTGGATCTGAGC